TGTTTTGTTTTATTGTTGCTTTCTTAGTAGTTGGGAAAATATGCAAAAAAATGCGCGATTCGTGAGTTTAATAATGTGCATGCACAACTTCAGTATGCTCATTGGCTAAGAACACGTCAATTAATCCCAAACAGTAAAGATTGAAATTGATTGCAGAAAGTTAAAATTAAATTGTTCGACAGGAAGTTGTGAATGCATAACAAAATAAAATGGCAGAAAGAAGAGGAGAAAGTAACAACCTTTCAGAGTTTTAGGGAGAATGCTAAGAACAAGAAACACCCAACAAAACATAAGCGAGTGACTAAAAGTTTGGAAGTGTTGGGCTATGACAAAAGTATTGGAACGGACGAAGCGGAGGGTCAGATTAAAATTCTTGAGGGGTTTTACGCAGCAGTTCATAAGAAAGACGTGGAAGACTGCGAGCTTTATAGCCTCCGTGTGAATGTTACAGCTTTTTCACCGATACCAAGCATAGAAAGTGTTTAAACACTCGATTATTTGTAATGAAGAGTTTAAAATCTAGAAGGAAGCTCTTGAGGGAAAAGCTCAACTTCTCCGGCAACAAACCAAAGGCAAGCGGCCGAACCAGTGAGCCGTAAGACGAAACGAGGAAAACGAAGTCACATTTTTTCTTGTTTATTATAGACAAGTAATCACTTCATTTTTCTCGTACAATTTGGGACAAATCGACACATGAATTTTCAAACACTACAGTATGATTGGCCTTTGAAAAACTTACCCGTGTTACTCCCAAATTGCACCCGAAATCATATGATTACATATGCAAATTGCATTGCTGAGTGCCAATCAGATTGCAAGGAGCCAAAGTTATTTCAGAATGGATGTAATGAAGGAGTAAGTTAGTTGCTCAATCAGAAACCAGATAATAGTAGTGCTACGGCAACCATATACATTTTCATCAGCTTTAACGAGTTCTGAAGTCTCAAATTAAGTAAAAAGGTGGTCTTCTTAGAGCTAAATTCGCCCATCAGTACTTAAAAATAGCTTGGAGACAGCGGGAATAAGCTTGTCAGATGTTTGATTTGTATATTTTCGAAATGAATTTTTTTTACTTTGCGTCTTGCTCCATCACCCTGTCAATAATCTGCGCCATGGCTGGAGGAACGCCGTCGTCCTCTCCTTTACTTTCTGCTTTTCCAAATCCAATGATCTTCTCGTAAAGCTTGAAAAATGAAATCATATTCAGTTAATTGAATGGTGAGTGAATAAATGAATATAGCAATGCATCTTTATCCAACTTGTTCATTACAATGGACGTTTCATTTTCAAAATTTAAAACATCGTCGTTGATTGGCCGAAATGTTAATATGATTAAGAATGACCAAAATCGAATTTAGTAAATAAACATCGAGCGTGATACAAAAATTATATAATTTCATAGGCTGATGAGTGCCTTAACATGTTTTTATGCGCAGAGTTCCATGATCAGAAGCTCTTTTCTAGCCAAGGTACTCTTAAGTTAAAGTTATCTCATATTTTTGAACTGTAGAATGGACTCGACGCTTTCCAACTGAACTCGCCCACGGCCCATTACTGACAGGCCGATCTTCGTCTATTCCTAAGTCGGCACGTCCGACCATTTGCTGTTGTATAAAACTTTTTGAACAGTCTCTAACCATTATTTAGTAATGTCTTACTCTGGTTTGTAGCTTGGATTTTCTGTTTGGAAACTCTTCATATTTATCGATCTGCATGCGTTTTAAAATCCATTGTGGGAGAGATTCCTCGAGCTCCAGAAGCAATTCAACCTGTAAAATGAATGAATTTGACGCTTCACATACTTTTCACGGCAGAAACACAAATTTTTCGTTGGAGCCATGTACGTCGCAGTAAGAATCCGTGTTGAAATATCTTGCCTGAATTTGTAAGTTCGCCGAGTGCAGTTCAGTTGACCTTGGTAATAATTTTAAACATCTTTGCTTCTTTAAAATTTATTACTTTCTCACGATAAAAACAAAAAGAAATTAAAACAAAAAGAAATTAAAACAAAAAGAAATTAAAACAAAAAGAAATTAAAACAAAAAGAAATTAAAACAAAAAGAAATTAAAACAAAAAAGAAATTAAAACAAAAAGAAATTAAAACAAAAAGAAATTAAAATAAAAAAGAGCAGAATGTTTCTGGCTCGTTTAGAGAGCAGTTTTAACATGTGCGCATTATTCCTAAATAAAATTCATAGTGGCATACCTCAATTCGGTCTGTGATTGTACGAGTTATTTGTCAATCACGAGCATGATTACAGACCGAACTGGATTACATGAAGTCTTGTTATCAATTAATCATAGCCATTACAATTTCCAAAAAATAACAAATACATTTATTTTAGAAAATATATAGACATTTTCTACATTATGAAATTCCTCCATTTTCGGTGAAAATTCCTCAGTTTTGTATGGTTATTGGTATGTTTATTGTAGTCTGTGATTGGCAGATTTAGCCGAGTGGACTCAGTTAAAAAAATAGCAGCTAATGCACTACATTTGAGGAAATTGTAATACTTATAATTAATGGTGGTATTGCCTCTGGCAGGTTTTCTGTCTCTCAGTCTCGTTACTAGATACTTCCTTCAATCCCTAGTTCTGTTTTTGGCAGCCGGCGCAACTTCATTTACAAGGGAATATAACCGCTACAAAATATGGACTCAACACGTGTTAGTCATATTTGGTCTACCTGCATCACATAACGATCCATAACAGACTTTTGTTGAATCTTGTCAATATCCCCAACAGCTAAACCGATCTGATGTAAAAGAAGGAAAATTATATAATTATAATTATTAGTTTAAATTACCAAAGTAAGTAAAAGTGTCTCTATAGAATTATAGTTACTGGTTGGTTCTTCACCCGTCTATATCTCGCGTATTTGGGGCGAAACAACCTTTAATTTTTTTCACCTTGTTAAAGGCACTGAAATTTCTCACTAGTGAAAAAGACAGGACTTTATCCCCCTCTGTAAAGCTAAAGAATCAAAACATACCAGCATGTTCATGAGTATGATGGGCATCGCCAGGGAGAAAAACACGAACATGACATTAGAAGCCAGAGGATAATGCAGTTTTATGTCGGGTATGAAGTCTGATTCGTAGTTCAACTCTCCCAAAGTCATCGCAAAGGTTTTCATCAAAGCGTATTCCAATGTGTCAAAGTTAGACTGAACGTAGTAAAATGAAACAAGAATTAACAAGGTTTAGTCCAAATTACCATATCTATTGTAGACCATCCAGATCAGTAATCCTTAGATATTCATAAATGTACTCTGTTCTTCTTAAGAACATTGTTCGTTAGCAGGTTTCATCTAACTTTAATCTATTTTCATGTAAGCTGTAATGATAAGGTAGGAGGATCAATTTGTGCCTTCATTTGAACGTATATGGGCGTATGGGAGACTTAGAAAACTCCTGTACCCCAAATTTTCCTCTTGCATTCATTACGATACAAAAAAAAATTTCTTGCCTCTACTTAAATCTTATTTAATCGACTTGGTTAAATTCACTCGATTCTATTTTTCTCCCCAACTGGCTCTTCTCTGACTCAGTTCGCCCAAGTGCAATTGACCATGCATTTAGAAATGAACCCACGTTTAGCTAAAAACGCTAAACGCCAAGAAAGCAATACGTTTATACCTTCAAAGCCCCTACCTTGTTATACATGAGCAGGTAAAACGTTGTCCCAAAAGCTACCACAAACAGAAAGAAAAGAAGCAAGACCTACATAGAGTAAAAAGGAAAGAGTTTCTAACGTTTGCTCCATAAAATCCGATCATTGGTCCATTACTTTGAGACTAACTACATTAAAGTCACGAAAGCTATTTTGATGAAAATACAAAAGTAACAGTTAAACCAGACCTGGAAAAGTGTTTTAAACATCGTGAGCAGCATGATTACATACTTTCCATAGTACGACAACCTGAGGAAATAAACGAAAATATCAATTAAATTTGCATTCTTTTTAATCAAGCGCAAAGAATTTGCGAGAAATTGAAATCTATTCCCTTATATCATGATTATATTCATCGACTCCGTCATCGCAAAAAAATACAAGTTTGTTTATCTATTTATCTGATCAGACACATGACTGCAAAAAGGACTTCGGTATTAAGCAGCCGTAACATAAGCACAGGCTACCCACTCTAACACCTCTCTAAATTATTTCATCAGTAGTTGTGTTCGTTCCCTAAATTTGGTAAGCTACCCTCGAAACAAGTGATTAATTGGGTAAAAATGTTATACTGCACAGTTGAGGAACGAAGTAAAACATTTAATTTTATCAGCTCCTGAAATTGATATTATAAAATGGTTTCGTCGCAGGAAATTTGGAATCGACACAAATTTTATTCTAACTCATCTGTACAAGGTGGAGATGACAAAAGGGGTATTGCATTGTCAGGAGTGGGATTCGAACCCACGCCTACAAGTGTAGACTGCGACCTGAACGCAGCGCCTTAGACCACTCGGCCATCCTGACCGCCTAGATGCTAAGGATTCAGGTACGTCGGCCAGGTACGTAAGTCAATAAAAGTTAAAAGGAACCATGACAACAACGCTGACCTCTTCTGCAGACAACTAATTTAGAGCTGCTTCTGTAATCGTATTTTAGAAATTCATATACATTTTATCGATAAACATTAGGCATTGCAGCTGAAAAATAGAAGAGCTTTCAAAGTATTATAAGTAGTTGCACAGAACAGCTATGGGGTCGCCGGTCTCCGTTGTTGTCGCAGAAATTGTGATGCAAAACATCGAGGAACGCGCCCTTGCAACTTGCCGACAAACCATACCGCTTTCGTTACGCTACGTTGACGACACATTTACCGCCGTACACAAAGACGAAATTGACGCTTTTCACAATCACCTTAACGAACAAAACACCGACATTCAGTTTACCAGGGAGATCGAAGAAGACGGCAAGCTTCCTTTTCTCGACTGTTTGGTAAGCCGAAACAACAACGAACTACGAACAACAGTATACAGAAAACCGACGCATACCGACAGACTGCTTGACGAATAATCCTACAACCCGACTTCCCACAAAGCTACGAGTATCAAGACATTAACAAGACGAGCGCAACTTGTTTGCAACACACCGGACAGTTTATCTGAAGAAAAAGACAAAAACAACTACAACACTGACTTCATTAGACGAAACACTCACAGGGCGACCGACACTACAGAAACTAACAGGGACTCCACATCTGTCACGACTACAGCTACTATACCCTACATCAAAGGCACTTCTGAGGCTATCGCGCGGATCCTACAACCTTACAACATTCGCGTAGCTCACAAGCCTATTACTACTTTACGACCAGACTTTATAACATCATCGACTGACAACTACTCTCTACTTGACTCTGAAGATGACTTCCGCACAGGTTGTCGAAACGTCAGTCACCAACAACAGTTCTTTTCAGAACTACACTCACCCAGACGATCACACTATACGAACTACTAAAATTTTAGCTACATGTAATACACTTTTGAATCTGGCTGTGTTAACAGCTTTGCGTCTCACCTTCTGAAGTAAAGAACAAGATTGAGCCAAGCAAAAAACAAGGAGAATGCCGCTGCCTCAGATTTATAATGTGCTTTGCAGGCGCAGATCGGAAACACGAAAACAAGTGCAGACACGTAAATCACCCACTCGATGTAGTTTGTGATGGCAGTCCAATACTTAAGGCGCTGTAATAAAAACAAATAAGTGGCTTAGTAATCAGAAATAAGTTTATCGACCCCCGTTTTAGGCTTATTAGAAAACAGTTGTAAAATGTGACCTAAAGTTTATTGAAAGACACAAAATGTTATATTTGGATACTTAGTCGAAAAGTTGCTCTTGTGAGAAATCATAGTTGACAGCCAAGCATTACTCAACATTCTTATATTAGATTATAGGGGGTAAGTTTCTAGAGAAAACTGTGGTACTGCGTCGGTGGGAGAGTACAAAAGGGTAATGCAGAAAATGGAGCTACGCTATTGGTATAAATATGGTGACGGGAACACAAGAGGAAATTAGTTGAATGAGCTTAGAAGTAGTCTGCAGAAGAAGTCAGCGTTGTCATAGGTTTCTTTCAACTTTTATTGAGCTAACCATGCTCACGTTCTTAAGAACTCAGACGGTCAGGATGGCCGAGTGGTCTAAGGCGCTGCGTTCAGGTCGCAGTCTACATTTGTAGGCGTGGGTTCGAATCCCACTCCTGACAGGTCTTTTTTGGTTTAATATTAAACACCTGATTGCATGCTTAGTTAGATTTTTGTCATCCTCTCTTTGTACTAAATTACCCACTCTCATATCAGATTGGGTGCCATACTAACCTGTCTCATGATTTGCACAATTTCCTTTGTGAGATGAATGAGGGCGAACACGATCACAACATAATGGAGAACCACAACAGTCTAAAAGTCATAAAAATAAATACAAAAAGCAATTCACCTTTAAAATGGATTCAGTAATTAAATATTGAGGCCTCCGTTTTTCTTAGCCTCTTGCTTAATATACACTCAGTATAGACTGCAGGACACGTGGTATTGCATTACCACGCAGAAGTGGACGAAACACCGATACCTTAATACGTTTATGCTGCTTTCCTGAGTCTAATTGTATATTTCTCTATCAATAGGTTGATTTAAAGTCTTCATAAACCTTTCGAAACCTTTTATTTCAAACCCTCTTTGTCAATTTGTGGAGGGTTTTGCCAACAACAAGGAAGTCAAGGGTCACTATAGTGCAATGGTCCAATAAACAAGACACCACAACAACACAAATAATTAAGTTTCACCATACTCTTATGCCCTGATGACACGGTTGACATGGCAGGATTTGAGATCACCGCAATGCTATAAAGTAGGATGTTTTTCTTTTGACTAAGGAACCGTATAAAACGCGAGTACAACACCTCAATATCGTTCCTTATTACCTTTTGAGAACCATTGCATGTGATGCTGTCGTCATCGTGCCAGTCCTGGTGAAAAGAGGAAAATGATATTACATGATTTACAAATTATACGTCATAGATCGCTTTAAAGTCGGCGAGGAAAATGAACGTCTGGCAAATTCCGTCTGGAAAAGGTAAGGTTGTATATCTTTGATTATGTACATGCGTATGTAATAATAAGCAAAAAGGCTGCGGTTTCTACTTGAAAAAGTCCTAATAAGAGCTTACCTCAGGTTAATCTCAAACACTCAAATTTAAGACGGGTACGACGAAAGAACATTCTTATTGAGCATTTACATAAAATGCAAAAAAACAACTTCAGTAATTTTTTCCTTTTGTGATATAAAGCTCATATTGAATATAGGTTGGCGGAACTGAGCTGATGAGACAAAGAGCTGTGGCACTCACTCTTTTACATAGCATCAGCATTTAAATAACGAGTTACTTACCCAAGTATGTTCGTAGTAGCCTGTGCGATGTTTTGTCATATTTTCAAATTTATAGCCACACAATTCAAGGCTGTTGGCCTTGAGATAAACTGCGAGTGCAGTAAATGGCAAAAGAAAGGCCAGGTACAAAGACAGATTTACGATGAATGTGATCCAACCAAATTTCTTCCTATGGGGTCAAAATTTTTCAAAACAAACTGCTCATAACTGTGTAATAATTGCTCATAATTGTCATAAGCAGGCAACCCTCAGGACCCATGTTATTGCCTGCCAATTAGTGGTTACTAGTTTAGTGGATGTTTATTCTAGTTTAAAGAGACAACTGAAAGAGAGAAGAACTTGAAAAACAGGACAGCTTTTATTGTTAGCTGACTTTCACTAACTTTTTCTCATTTTTTTAATTTTTACTGATAACTTATATACGTATTCACTTAGTCTTAGGCCATTAGTACTAACATCCCAAGGTTGGTCTCCTGAGGATGTTATTAACACAATTATTACATTCAGTGTTAGTTGGAGTAATTAAAGTATCCTGTTATTTACCATTTGATGTTCATAAGCACATAGCATACTGGATGAGTCAAGCAATTCTCTCGCCGTCTTTCTGCCATAGTCTACATTCAGGAAGAGAGAGAAATATTACTCATTTGATGTTAAAATTGTTTTGAGCTCTGTTGTAACATTTTCTCTTAAAAAGCTCTGGAATGTACGTAGTTAAGTGAGTGTATGGAGTTATAAGACCTCGCAGGAGCTCTGAGTGGGATTCAAACCTAACTCCACTTGTAACTATTTATGAGATAAATGCGACTAGAGGTTTAACAATCTTGACGATTGGTAAAGTTTTCTAATCCGTAGCTTACATGCTTGACTTACGACCATCCAGATTATCAGAATGTACCTTGTTAATTGGCGTACATTTGTACAAGAAAGGTAATTCTTCCTTCCTAGAAACAACATGTTTAGTGTAAATTAACAAGACTTTACTCAAATCTTCACCTTTAGGGCATCTAATGAATGCTCTAACGAACTTGTCAAACTGTTTTGCTTTCCTTGAATCAGCCGCAGATCATATGTTACCTGAGTAGATATTTGCACAAATCGTTGAATAAAATAAAACTGAAACGGTGTGAATGGTGAATGAATAAACGCATAGAATAACGAATGGATAAAAGTGAAATTACAAATAGACCCCCGTATGCTCTGTTACAAATATCCAAGAGATTGATATTACGGGTGGACTTTGACCTCGAACCTCCATAAACTTATTTTTTTGCCTACATTCTTCCTCCTCACCATTCTTATCTTGTAATTACTTCTCCTCTTCCTGATTTTGCTATGTTTGATCTTTAATACCAAAGTCTTATGGCTGTGACCAACCGAAAATCTAAAATAGACGTCGTAAGGCATCAAAGGAAATTGTTTTCAGATCCACATTATTAGAATTCTTTTCTTAAGAGATTCATGATAAAAGTTTTAACAATAATAGGATGATAGTATTAAAGATTTTAACCAACTGAGCGAGGAGAAGCCAGAAAACGAATATAACGTAAGGGAAAGAGCAACAGGAGATACAAATGTTGAACAAAATAATTTAGGACTAATAAGGCAAGGTTGATAAACCCTGAAGCACATTACAGCCATGTGTCTTCAGAAATTAGAGCGCACTACTAATAAAAATGAAAAGGCAGCTTACTTTGAAATCTTTACTGCTCGGGTCACCCTCTTGGTCGACACATTGATCAAGAACACGCTAGTAAACAGAAACAAATCAAACAAGAGAATTATGTTAGGTTATCTAAAAGGTATTGCAGATTAACCAGGACTGCAATGAAGATGAGAAATTGGTCAAACAAGATGACTGTGGTACGATCTGGTAGAAATGTAAATATACTTATATTTACATTTCTACCAGATCGGTTACTTCTAGAAGGTTTTGCATTCGTGCGAAAAACCGTTAAGATGAAGAATCAAATTTTTTTCTCTTTTGTCTCTTTGTTTGGCCTTGTTTCATGTACATAGTTTATTCATTGAATAGACTGTTATATACTGGGCTAGAGACACAAAAAGCTGGGAATTCAGTTATTCACATAGAGCATGAAATTCTGCATATCACTTACTTCTGCCACCTCCGGCATCTTCTCTACCAAAGTCTGAATCTGAGACACTCCTCCTCCCACAGCTGAATCCATTACCTCCTTCCATCTGTGTATTAACAAGTGGATGAAAGAAATCAAATGACTTGGTAATAACAATCTCTCACAAGAAATGCAAATAACGAAACCGATCAGCATAA